GCGGCGAGCGCCGCGCACCGCGGCCGGGCGCGGCCAGCGAGCGCGGCGCACGCCGCAGCTGGGCGGGATGTGCGCCGCGCGCCGCGCGGTGCGCCGCGCGTGCGGGCTGGCACTGGCCGGCGCGGCGCTGGGCGGTCAGGGGCAACAGTGCAGTCGACCCTCCAGGCAGCCTATATGGTCCTCGTAGATGGGGCGGGAGGATCGCGCCGCATCGAGGATGCATCGGCGATGCGGGTCGATGTAGAGCCCGATTCCCTCCATGCCGGCGTCAGCGATGCATCGCCGATGCATCGGCGATGCGGCGCGATTCTCTGACCCCATCTACGCGGACCCCATCTAGGAGGCCTCTAACAGCGCAGTCGACCCGCACAGGAAGGATGGGCAGCCTTCCCGAGAGTTCTCTTGCATCCTTGCCTGAAGTCGGGCGTGTCCCTCTACACGAGGAATATTCAAAAATAGGTTAACAATAGTTTGGGGGCGACTTTCTGATTTGTTTTGTTAGTTTTGTTCTTTGAGTATTTTAAGTTGTTCGTCCACAAACCGCTTGTAGGGGGCATGCCCGACCTAAGCCTTGCCCCTTCGGCTCATCCTTTAGCGGCTTTCACTGGCCAACCTCGTTCGAGAAACGCTAACGTGGCCCTCCGAGGCCCTTGCATCCTTACCGCGCATCCTTCTGATACGGGTTGGACTGTAGGGAGAGGGCCTTCCCTCCCTCAACTGGTCTCCCCCCAGAATTTAGCCATGTCTCCTGGGGCGCGGCCGCGCAGCCAGCCTCCCAGGGGTCGCCAGCGAGGAAAGGCGCCCAGGTCGAAGGACTCATGTCGTCCGAGATCTGGGTCAGGGGCAACGGTAATTCGGGGGGGGGGCCGTGATCGGCTCAGAGGGGGGCACGCATGGACCCCCAATCGCCCGTCGATCGCCGGCAGGGGCTTGAGGATCAGCCGACCCGCCCGCCCGGGAGCGTTCGGATTCACCATCGGGGGCCCATCGCCGATCTACCGGGGATGTATCGCCGATTCCAGGTCGTTGGTACCTAGCCTGAGCCAGTCCCCCCCACGCAGCTGGACTGCATGACCCGAAGTATCCCATGTTTCGTCGGGGTGCCTCGGAAGGCGGCAGAGGCTTCGGGGAAGCTGCAACGGGCAGGACACCCTCGGGCTCTCGGGCGTCGGTGCGCTCGGATTCTTGACGTTGATTTTTGCCGTACGCGAGCGATCCAGGCACCGCACAGGTCAGGGTACCCGGTGCTTCTCCGTTTGCAACATTCGGGGGAGCGTAAGACCCGGGTTTGCCAGGACTCGGGTTCGCCATCGTTTTTTGACGAACGCGCCTCGAATTATGACGAGAAGGAGTTTCGTGGGATGTCTGCAGCGGGAGGCCTCGTCACAATGCAGGCTCGGCCTCGTCATTTTTTTGACGACCTCGTCGGGGATTTCCGAGTCCCCTGTACCCAAGTCTTACGTCACCCTGGAACATTAAGCGTGAGAACCCAAACCTTGGACAAAGAGGCCCCGGCAGATTTCGAGGTGTGCTTTCGTGCGGCGGGCTTCTGGCGTATGCGCTTCCGTTGCATCGTTGCCGCGCAGGCGGCGGCCGGGGCGCCGCCGCGGAGCCGATGGCGCGCCACAAGCTGCCGGTGTCGGCCTGGAGGAAGAGCTCCAAGAACAAGGTCGAGGAGGGGGTACAGACATGTCGGGGGAGCGTAAGACCCGGGTTTGCCAGGACTCGGGTTCGCCATCGTTTTTTGACGACCGCGCCTCGGATTTTGACGAGGAGGGAGTTTCGTGGGATGTCTGCAGCGGGAGGCCTCGTCAAAATGCAGGCTCGGCCTCGTCATTTTTTTGACGACCTCGTCGGGGATTTCCGAGTCCCCTGTACCCAGGTCTTACGTCCCCCTGAACATGTCGGGGGTGGACAGAACCCCCATCCTGACACGTCGATTCGTGAATTGTCTGTTTTCGGTTCTCGGGAGGGCGCCGCGGCCGTCGTTTTCCAGGCCTGCGCCCGCCAGGTTTGGGCCTCGGGCCGTTTTCACGACACCACGTTTTGCTAAAGGGGGGTCAGTCTGTCCATCCCCGAAGGGGGTCCAGACATGCCACGGCACGAGCGAAGTGGGTACGGAAAGAATCTGGCCGAAGGCCTGCAGCAGTTCGTGTTTTTACCAGGGTTTGCTGTCGGCGCCGCCGCGAGCCTGGTTCATTTGAGACAGCAGGAGGCCGCCTGCCCGACAGCGGCCGCTGTCGGTTTTGGACAACCGTTGTAGTCGGGCATCGTACCCTTTTTTGTCCGTACCCGCTTAGGGCGTCCAAAATATCCGCGTCGTGAACAGATCACGACGGGCGTTTTGGGGGCTGTTTTTTGGAACCCGTTTCGAGCGGGTGGAGTCTCCCCCAGAGGCCTCACTCTTGCAAACAGTCGCACTAATCAAGCAGTGGCGAAGCGTCCTAGCTCGCCGATAGGCCCACCAAATCATGTTCTAAGAACTTTGTCTGGTGGCTGCAATGGGATGTCCTTAGAACATTTCTGGCTGGGGCTGTCTTGATTTAACACATCGGGTTTTTGTTATAAGAACATTGTTCTATTCTCAGAACACTTTGGGGTTCTAAGAGCATGTTGTGGCAGGCCCACAGGAATGCCGGGACGGTCGGTCCCTGCTCAAACGAAGCAGAGTTCTGTAGTTCCGCCCCCCCTTGCCGCCCCATGCCGAAACGCCGAATAATAAACAAAAACGCTCACGTTGGGAGTATTGGGGGCCCCGCATCGGGAAAAACACAGGACGCGAACGTGGACTTTCGAGCCATGCCCATGCTGCTGCCCCCCCCCCTCACCTGTGCGTTGCGAGGATCAGGGTATAGATCAAAGGCTCGGCACCCGGGGCAGGCTCTGGGTTTCTTGGATGTCGATGATGTTGCTGTGGAAAGCATGACGCTCCCACACCGACAGTCAATGGACGCCCTGGGGTCTCAGGGTTGGGCTTCTTGTGGCAGGTTTCTTGTGGTCGAGCTCCTACTGTAGTGCTCGGGTCGAGGTTTTGTTGGTTTTGCGGTGGAAAGCGCGACATTCCCACATGAAAAATCAATGGATGTCCTGGGGTCTCAGGATTGGATTTCTTGTGGAAGGTGTCTTGTTGATTGGCCTCCATTGTATCAATGCACTCGCTCGAGCCCCGTCGTCGGATGAGGGCGCGAGCAGAGGCATGGATGTAACACGTCGATCGCAAGTGCCGGGGGCCTGAGACCCGGGCGCCGCATTTTTCACGCCAGGCTTCTGTTGAGCCGGGCATGCCCCTCTACAGCAGGAGGAGTATTCAAACATAGTCCACAGAGAGTCTGGGGACGATGTTCTTACTCTTTTGTCTCATTTTTGGGTGTTATTTGGATTGCGAAGGCCTTACGGCAGGTGCCGCCGACCCTGAATGGCGACGACGACGACGACGACGACGACGACGACGTGCGCTCTTGGGGGCCTCTTGGGGGTAGTTTGGAGGGCCTCTTGGGAAGCCTCGTGGGGGCCCCTTGGGGCTTCCTGGGGGTCTCTTGGAGGGGGCCTGGGACGTCTTGGAGGCTTCTTTCACTTTTGGGTGTTATTTGGATTTTGTATTCTTCGGTCAAAATCCGCCTGTGGGAGGACATGCCCGACCTCACACGGGGCCACTTCGCCCGGCGTCGGGCCCGGGTGCCCTCACGGATCGGTGCGGCTCGACAGGTGCAGCGACGGGTGTCGCAGAAAGATTGTGCCCAGGGCTCTGCTCGTGATCCTCAGCGACGGGTCGCGGAGGGATGTTCGGATGCAGCTCCTGGGAGGTCAAATTCTCTGCAATCCTCCTCAATGGTTCCCCAATCGTTCCTTAATCGTCCTCCCAATCCTTGATCTTCCTGAATCGTCCTCCTTAGTCTTCCTCCCTGATCTTTCCTTAATCCTCCCTAATTCTCCCGAATCCTCCCAAATGGCGCTCAATCCTCCTCAACCTGTCCGACGAACACTTCCCAGCAGTTGCCTCCTAAGGGATGCTGGATGGAGGAGCGGGTCGGGGGCGTCCAGGCCCCCCCTCGCGCCAGGAACAGGTCAAGGCGGCAGGTGTTTGGCCTCCTGTTGGGCGTGCCGTTCTGGAGGAGGCATGTTCAAGACGGGAAAAGTTTAGCCTTGAAACAAATCTTGTCTACTTATTGTCCTATATAGAGGAAACATATAGAACTGTATTTCCAGTCTTGAAAAAATATACAATCTAGAGGAGGAATGTTCAAGACAAGAAAAAAAGACTCGATTGTTCTATCTTTTGTTAAAACTGATGTTCGGCATTGTTGGGCCTACGCCGTGCGCCACACGGCCGAGGGGAACTGGCGGTTGTTGCGTGTTGCTCCCGAGGGCCTCTTGTGCGCCTTTTGGGGGCTTCTTGGAGTTCTGTTGGGGCTTCATGGGGGCCTTTTCGGGGCCTATTCGGCTGACATTCTCAGTAATCGCCGTGCACGCATGGGGAAACGGGCGAGAGCCCACGTATACAGACGGCGGACATCTGTCAACACACCCGAATAATGATTATCGCATGCCCTGTGGCACATCTTGCCACCGTGGACCGTGCCTGGGCTGCGGGTCTGAGGCCACTCGAATGGCTGATGGGGTCTCGTGGGAGGCGCGTCGTGCGTTTGGAGGCAGTTTGTGAACCTCTTGGAGGCCTCCTTGGGGCCTCTAGAGGGCTTTTTGTGGCCATCTTGGAGCCAGCTGGGGGCCTGTTGGGGGCTTCTTTTGGGCAACCTGGAGGCGTCTTGGGTTGGAAGATTCGAAATGTCCGTTCGGGTTCCCTCTCTGGCCCCCCTCTTGGGGCTGTCTTGGGGCCTTCCTTGGCCATCTTGGGGGCGTCTTGGGCCGTCTTGGGGCCCTCTTGGGCCGTGTTTGAGCCTTCTCGGGGGCCTCTTGGCCCGTCTTGGGGCGATCTTGAAGGCCTTTTGGGCCGTCTGGGATGTTGTGAACGCCCAAGAGGCACATGTGCCAACACATTCGCGCTTCCCAAAAAGGAATGGGACGATGTTGTGCTTCTGGAGGCCCTCTTGGGACGCCTCTTGGGGGCCTCATGGGGCGTCTTGGGGGCCTCTCGGGCCGTCTGGGGCCTGCGTGGGCGTTTTGGATCGATCTTTCCGCGACTCGTGACCCTCGTGGATCGCCCCAAGAGTCTCTTGGGTTCCTCTTGGGCTGTTTTGGGGCCCTCGGCCCCCCCCCCAGGTGCTTTCAGCCGGATCCCGGGGGCCCCCCCCCTCCAAATCGACTGGACTGGGCTTCCGGGGGAGGGGCTTGGGGAGGGGGCAACATCTCACACACCGACGATCCCAAAGGGGTGGGCGTTTTTTTTTGGGGTGGGTGGGTGATTTTATATATATATAATATATATATATATATATATATATATATATATATTACAGGATACGCCTGTAGGAGGATATGCCCGACCTAATTTTGGCCACTTCCGGAGTCGAGGGACCTTTGACGGGCCCCAGGGCCATCAGAAACCAACTCAGGATGAAAAGCCGGTCCCGCGGAAGAGGTCGAGACCTTTGGGGGTCAGTGTCGCGAAAGGTCACGAAGTCGCGGGTCAGGAGAGGAAGGGTCCGATGGTGGAAGTTATACCGATGCCGTTGCCCGTCTCTCTTTCCCACCAGCGGATTCGCCTCGAAACCCTGACCAGAGCGCATTCGTTGAAACAAACGTATGGGGAGTCGCAGTATCGGTTTGTGTTGGTTTCCCCAGGGGGAGGACGCGGGGGGAGAAACAGGAGGAAGGGGTCCGAGAGCAACAAGACCGTCTACGCTCGTCGTCGTTACCACCGTCCTCCTCCCGCTCCTCCCCCTCCTCCTCTTCCGCCTCTTGCTCCCCCTTTTCCTCCTCCTCCTCCTCCTTATACCCCTCCTCTCCCCCTTCGACTGCGCACTGCCAGACGCCATCCGCACCCGATTATCTCGACGGCCCCCCGAAGTCCCGACCCTCTCACCCCGAGTCGTTCTTTGACGGTCCTGGGGCCCAGCAAGGGCCCCAGGAGGCCGAACATCGCCCGCTCCTTCCGCGGCGAGGACTCGCTGCTGCAAACTCGACGCGTGCGTGCCCTCCCGGCGGGGGGCTCCCTCCGGGCCGCGTCCCAGGAGCGCGGGCAAGGTTTGCATCCACATCCATTGCGCACTGGGGTTTCGGGCTCCTTCCCTGAAGTCGGGGGTGTCCCTCTACAGGAGGAACATTCGGAAATAGTCCAAAAATAGTCGGGGGACGTTTTTTTTACATATTTTTGCTTACTCATGGGGCATGCTATCCGTATTGTTTGTTTGATTGTTCGTTCAAAATCCGCTTGTAGGGGGACATGCCCGACCTAACACTGGAAGGTCGGGCTCCTTCCCCAGACACCAGGGGCGCACTGGATGTGGATAAACAGATTGCGCCCGGGAGCTAGATTTCTATCCATAGCCACTGCTCAGCGGCATTTTGGCGCCCCTCCAAGTCAATCCCAGACGCAGTGGGTAGGTATGGACATGAGTCTTGCCCGCAGGTAAGTCCCCTGGACTGTCCATTCGGGGCGCACGCGGGGTGCTGTGCAAACGGGGCCGAGCCAGAACGCGGGATCCTGCGGGATCCTGCCGAGCTGAAGTTTGGCCGAGCCGGGCCTGGGAACCGCTCGCGGGTCTGGCCGTG